GCGTAGACGCGAGCTCCGGAGCTGACGTTGTCGCGACGATAGCCGGAGGCAATTTCCATCCGGTATCCGGCACGGCGCGCGCGTCGCGATGGAGCTCGGCCTGTTTGCGTTTTACTCCTTTGCCGTATCGAGAGGACCGAACCGGTCGATGACGAAGGAATCGAAGAAATAGAAGGAAACGGGCGGAGGAAAAGTCGACCGCTTGGAACTCGAGTGGAAGCTATTTCGCTCGCGTCGTCCCGGTGTGGCGCGATCGAGCGTTTTATTCCATTTTCTCGTCGTCGCTCCTCTCTTTCCACGGCCTGTGAACCCTCGAGACACACCTGAACGATAGACGATTGGAACGCGTTACCGCTCACCTTGTCCCCTTTTCTGTTCGCAGTGCCGCCAGCCAAGCCGATAATCTACGACGCGAAGAGAAGAGACATGAGCAAACTTCTCGAGGCCTATCCCGAAGGAACTGACCTGTTCCTCGTCTGCGAGGTTCACGGAGGTAAGTGTCGCGCCGAGGATTTTCGCGCGCGAGATTAACGACTAAACGCCTTCCGAAATTACCACACGAAACGATGCATCCCTCCGTTTGCACATCCCGCGTGTTGCACCCTGCCATTTGTTTCGCGAGAAAATAATCTGTCGCGATGTTCCGCCCCTGTGGATTAATTGGCCGGAACTCTGCCGGTTTAACTCCGCCCTCTTTCTAATACCACTGGCATAATGGATCGCTGCCAGAAATTGCTTCCAGCCGATTAGAGGGATGAATTATTATAAGTGGTTGCGCATCGTTTATAAAAAGCCGGCGGACAGTATCCGCGCATCCGTCATACTCGATCAAACTACTTGACGACAGCGTTGGAAATGGGCTTCTTCTTTTTCTTCTTCTACTTCTTCTTAAGAAGAAGAAGAAGAAGAAGAAGAAGAAGAAGAAGAAGAAGAAAACTCGTTCCTTGAGCGAAATTTAATAGAGAAATACAGCGTCTCGTCTCGTCTCGTCCCGTTTCCCGGCTCATCGATACGTCAAACGCGCGAACCGTGTCTTTCGCGATTTATTTCGCGCGAAGACGGCGACGCCCGGTAAAATACGACAGCGAAAACAGAGAAACAGCACGGTTATACGATCGGAGTAGATACGTAAGTGGAAAAAGTACGAACGGGTCGGTTTTCGCGCGGTAATATTCACGGCGACATCTAGCTAGGAGGGAAATCGCCACGCATAAGCAATCGCGCGTAAAACGCAGCACGAGAGGTGGCCGACGCGTAAACGTCTTTCGAACCTTGCGTGCCGGACGAAAAATCCCATTTCCTCGAACCGCGAGTATTCACTGGCGCGAGGCCAATTCCATTTACAGCCGGCATTCGCTTACTCCGAGAAAATACGAAGCGAAATAGGCGAGGAGGGGTAGAAGAACGAAGAAGATGGAAGAAGAAGGAAGAGTCCAGTCGGATTTTTCCGACTCTTCTTCTTCTTCTTCTACTTCTTCTTCTTCTTCTTCTGGCCCGATAGGTGTCGCGGAGCGGGACAAATCCGCTGGATCCACGCCAATTTTAATCTCCACCGACGCCCCTTTCGCCGACACGAGCCACGAATATGCCAAGAATTATCCCTTTCGATCACGCGCTAATCATCGGTTAAAGGGAAACCTCTCGGAACCGACTGGTTGAACGATTCGCGGATACCGAGGACGGAATAATCGGCTGCGAATTAATCGGGTTCGATGGCCATTGATCCTTTCGCCGGTCGATCACGGCCTAAACGGCGAAAGTTGAAAGTACCCTTGAACGACGAATGCGTAGAGCGCAAATACATTTTTCCGCGTTATTTGGTCGAGGTAAATTCACGAGTGGGACTCACTCCGTTGGCATTGTTCTCCGAATAAAAATTCCAAAAAATTCCACGCGATCGTGGGACAGAAATGTTTAACTTTCATTATACGTCTAGTATTATATCGGATAATGGAATCTAGAAAATTAACGAGAAACTGCCCTACCGGAACTTTCTCCTTAATTCAACGAGGAATTTTTTCCTTCTGTCCTCTCGTGCCCTTTTCCCGGGTCCTCCTCCAGCGAGATTACACGACTTACAACTAGCAGCCACCCAGCCAACCATCCAACCAGGGTAGCCAACCGTCCACCACCACCACCACCACCACCACCACCCGGTAGTTCTCCGGACGAGCGATTTGTCACTCCACGGAGAAAACGAATTTCCAACTTGCTCCCAGAGTTTTTCCTTATGCGCGTACAGGTAACCCATGACTTCCGAACGGAAGACTCGCATTGTCGACCAAACTTCGCAATATCCGAACAACGTTTTCCAACTTAAAACGACGACTGCCAAAGACCCGTCCACGCGGCTTTCGACAAATTTATATTTTCTCGTTAACTTTTCCGCGCCCCTCCCCGAGACGCGATATTTCGTATTCGCCCGACGACTCGTCCGACACCCCTCCGCGCCACCTGTTCACGTGGAAATTGCTGATTTCGTAAAGAGCAGTTGGGAAAAGCCGAGTCCTCTGCAACGGGTACAGAGCGAACTTCGGCATAAGCTATCCGGCGAGATAAAGCGACGACTCGAGCCAGAGAAACGGTCTCATCGCCGAAGGATAATCCACGCCGTGGTACAAAAAGACCGAGATACGAATAACAAAAATGAGCAAATGCCCTGCCGCTCGTAAGTAGTACACCCCGTGTCCGAAATCCAAGGTAGAAGCGTAACTTGGCATAAGACGCGAATAACCCGGTGCAATCGTTTCCAACGGTAGACCGGGATTCGCGATGGCGAGGGGAGTCGTTGCCAGAGACCAGCCGGAGTAGCGATTATTCCGGCTGCGAGCTTAAACCAGTCGGATGAGCTTGAACGGAATGTCGTTTTCTTTTCTTCCACCCGGTGACTCCTCCAAGGGAATGACGGAGAGGCACAGAAACGGCCATCCACCGTGTCGGGAAAAATATTTACCGAAAACTTTCGCCGGATAGTTGAAATATTTTTTCGCAAGTACCGTAGGAAACAAAGAAGCATGCCTGCAAAAAACCAACGAGCCGTCGTCGGGCATGGAAGTTTCAAAAATTCCAGTCGTCGTATTTTCGCGAGTTTGTTCTCCCTGTTACTCGTTCAACCGGTCGGTTAAAAGGGAATCGCGCTTCCTTCGCGGGAAATATACGGCGCAGGAGAGATCGGAATTTTGGAATTTTATGAACTCGAGACGAAGGTTCCGTGGATTTTTTTCGCGTCTCGACGCCTTCTCTGAGAGAAAAACAACGGAGAGCGGAAAAGGTTCCCGCGCGAATAAGCGTTCCTTCGTTCCTTCGATCGGCATTGGACTCTCCGGAAAACCTTGGAGAGACATCGCCGCGAAGCCATGCCCGAGTTTCTTACGAGTTGCGTTACTCGACGCGTACGCGAGTGTCGAAACAGCTTGGAATTTTGGTAAAACAGCGTGACGAAGCAGGTCGAAACGATCGCGTTAATTTCGCACGACGAGTCGTTTTACGCGAACGAATAACAGACGGAATGTTTGAAAATGGCTGACCACGAGGATACTCGATCGAGGCACTTAACTCGCGCGCGAGCGAGACGAGCATTGTATCGCGCATTGTTACCTCACAATGTACCGTCTTCGGTCTTTTCCACGTGTCACCTTGCCCGCCTGCCGCGTTGCTCCCGCATTGTTGCACCGTCACCGTGAAAGTAATTTTACGGCAGACCAAGGTAAAGCGTTTGTTTTAACGTGACTCGCGGCTAACGGTATTCCTTGCTTTAACCTGGCCGAGCAACACACGCGCGGACCGTGCTGTATTTCTCTCTCATTGTTTGCGCGATCTTTACTCTTCCGGCTTTTTTAAACTTGCCGGTATTTCGCGTGGAAAGCGGGTGAAATAATAAATCAAAAGCCGGAAATTTCCCGACCAATCGGTGTCTGGAATCTCGAGAAAGTTGGGAGAGCGGCAAATAGATGAACGGCAGAATACTCGAGCAAAGCGTCATCGAAAAATTCCAAAGGCCCGCTGAAAGGTGGAGAGCGATTTTTATTCGCGACCAGACGAACCTCGCTGACGAATCTTGCAAGTTGAAGCGCTTAAACGGCATCATTTGGATGGCGCGTTAGCTTAGCAGCGTTATTAGGAAGCTCTCAGCGTAACGCCACGCGCCCCATTGTTCGCTAAACGCTCCAATTTCGAGCTTCGTCCACGAGCAAACACCGATGTGCCAGAGAATTTGCAAGTTTGCGCCGCTCGCGAAAAGCTTTTACGCGAAATCGAAATCGCGGGAAGAAATCGGGCGTGGCGATATAACGTAATTCGCGTGATAAAAACGAAATGATCGGAACTGGTACAAATGTAGCGGGGACGCGGTCGAGAGCCACTAAAATTCGTCTTCCATTGTGCTTCCTTCGCTGTCGCGTAACATTATTACAACCGAGTCGTACTCGGCCCGCGAACCTCGTGATATATACCTGTTCCATCCATGATGCCAGGTGGAAACCCAGAGAGCAATAAAGATCCTCCTTTCCTCTACCCTCCAGCAACCCGACTACGGTCTCTTACTTCCACCTTTTCTACTTCCGCTCTCACAGAGAAGCAATGAAATAATTCCCCACCTCGCGTACCGGAAAGTCGAGAGCGTGTGACACTCATCCTCGATTTCTCCTTCCACCGGTTCTCCCTCTTCCGACTCTACAATCCCTCGTTTCTGTCACTTTTAGTTCTCTCGACGCATAATTCGCTTTCGAGATGAACCAGCTCCCGCTTCTCTCCACCGACCCGATCCGTACGAAGATACGCTCTCACGCTCGAAAGCGTATTCGTTCTTCGTAGACATCGCGCGCGCGCTATCGGAAAATCCGCATCCAAGCGGCATCGTCGTTTATACGCGCGATAAACTGTACCGACGCGGTTGACCGTGGAACTTGGTATAATAGCGGAACACGGGACGCTTCTCGTTTTCCGGAAGACAAATTTCCGCGAATAATTAACTCGGGGAATTAGGTGACCGTGCAACCGGTACATCGGGACCAATAAATTGACGAGTAGACGTCGGGCGATTTCCATCGAGATCGCTACCGCTGCGGCCGAGTAAGACCCGTCGAGGGGCGTGATTGACGACTAGCTCGCAGCCTCTGATACATACTCGTAGACACGGATGCAGTCTCGATGCGTCGTCTACTCGGATTAGGCCAGCTGCTCGAATTGTCCTGACCGGCAATCAGCCTGCTTGCCACGGATAAGCGATAGAGACCGCTCCGTCAAGTACGTGGTAGACTCCACGACATAGCGAGCTTCCGAAGTAAGGCATCGAGCAGAGCGACGCCGATTGACGGGATGATACTCTGCTCTACACTACAGTCCAAGTGCTTCCGAAGCTACCTCGCGTTACCAAGGCTACCCCTTGTGATCGAGTACCCGTCGTGAATCAACGTCCGTTTCATTGTTCAACCGATGGTCACCGGCGATGATCATTTTCTTTCACCGAATCATTTTCTATCCACGCTCTCCCTCTCTCTTTCCCGCTACGGTCAGCGTTCCTCGGAGTTTCCGTTAAATTTTAACTACCCCTGTGGATAACGTTAGTCCCGGATCACCGGCAGAAAATAATACACCGAGGGAACGAGCCTTCCTTCGGTCATATCTTTCCGAGATACTATCCACCGCGACGGAGCCAGGGGACTTGGAAAAATTTCCAGGTACGAGAGGAGTATTCGCGGCAGAGCCAAAGATGGAATCCCGGCGATAAAATTAGCTAGGTAAGATCACCGAGAAAATTGGCGAATACCGGAAACGGAGGGACGCCCGGGCCGGGCCGGACCAGACCAGACCAGACCAGACCAAGGTCGACTAGAAATACCGATAACGCGAAACGAGCAAACTCCGGCCGCGATTAATAGTACGTGTGATTCGTACACGCGTATACTCGTGGGAACCCGATATTCCTCGCGAGTGTAATAATTCTTCGAACGTGCTGGAGTTACGCGCATAGGTAGTATCCGCGAGTTTCGTTTCGTCTTTGTTTAGCCAGAGTTAAGCGATAGGAGCAATTAGGTGGCGCTTTTAACGCATAAGTCACGTCGTTTATACGCCCCGAGATGACTCGTCTGTTCGATTTAGGTAAACCGAGACCTCGAGTCACGTGGTTTCTGGAGTCGCAGACAATCGATGCGCCGTCGGAGATTCGAGAGACCCAAGGGCCAGGAGGCGAAACCAACGTCGTAACCATAAGCAATGTGACGCTGAAGGGTCTCACGAGAAGTCACTACCATGCCAAACTGTTCTGCAAGGCAAGCAATACTCATTTAGCACCGCCACCCACCACTGCCGTTATCATCGAACTTTACAGTAAGTAGATCCGTTGCTTTCCACGATCGTTAATTATAGCGCTGCGCGTAAAGTATTATTATTTCATCGAGGGAATAATAGAAGGTCGAACGAGTTGGTTTATCGAACGGGTCACTGGTTATTCTCCTCCTTTCCAGAGATCGGGTGTACGCGCTTATATTACCGTCGGTACCCAAGAATCGTATCCGACGCAACAGACAAGGTATCAGACGGTTGCAATTAACCGTCTACAAAAGGCAGAAGATTTCAATAACGTCGTTTCATCTGCTTAAGAGGACAGTGGGTAATTTGCCCCTTCGTCGAGCCGTAAAAGCCAACCCGGTTATGTTAATGAAACGATCAATAAGTAACGACGCTAATTATCCGTGATGCAGGAAATCGCTTCGTTCGAAACTTCGGTCTTTCACCTACCAGCGCCAAAGAGGTTTCGTTCCACTCGCTCATCCGACACGTACTTGTCCAAGTGGAACGAACCTTCACCCCCATTCGCCATTTATATTTTTTTCTTTTTCTTTTTCATCTTTTTTTATATTCTCCAAGTTTTGTACACGCGATCGCGCGCGGAATAAAAGCGGGCAAAGTTCTTTGGACGAGAGAGCGGGCGAATGCGTACCGAGCGTTCGTGCGCACATTTTTCCTTATTTTTTTCCTTTTTTTTTTTTTTTTTTTTTTGGTTATTTTGTACC